CTGTTAACAGTGAACACCAGAGGGCGCAATTAACAGTTTTCTTTGAGGCACCGAAATTAGAGATGTGTTTCGGTTCGTGTACTACCGTTTATATTCGCCCCGGTGCCATACTGGAACCGAGTTTCAGTACCCAACCCTACTTTCCAGTCAAAAAAAGGACACTTTCTGTTGTCAGGGGTCAGGGCTTTTRTTTATTTTATTTGATGATGTCATATAGCCACATGGTATGGTCAGGCAAGCAACATGGATTACTCATACCAAGTTTGGTGCATTTTAGCCTTTCTTTGTGAAAGTTACAGCTGTCAGAAATTGTAACGAACGAATGGACGGAGAGCATTTCCAAGTCCCTCGCCTCGGCAACATGGGACAAAAAAGGGGATTGTGCTGTAGTCCATACAGCTGGTTTGTTCTTTCTCTACTGGGGTTGTATGGTGTTCTCCCTGAATGGTAATTATGACAGAAACAAAAAGAACATTTACACACAAAGGCAGGTTTRGAGTGAATGGGTCTGCTCCTGTGCACAGCAAGTGTTCTGGCACCAACTGTGGTTTTATGGGAGATTATATGAGGCAATTATGATAGAAAACGTGCAGAGGGGAGAAAAGAAGGGATATGCTGGTGCTAGAGAGAGAGAGAGAGACAAGATCTGTACTCTGTAGATGTTCTGTCTGTCTGGCCACTGTAAGCTTCACTAAGAGCTGGTGCTGAGACAGACATCAGGCATCACAAAAGTATTCAAGCATGCAGTTTGGTCAAGCACACACTGGCCTTCACACTCACAGGGAGTTCAACTGCATTCCAAAACTCTGAAGGCTACAACTTTTTTACTCAAGCCCTTTCATGCACGAATTATAACTTCAGCCAGGATTTTCTTTCCAAAGTGTTTCAATTTAATAAGGACATTTTAAAAAATGGTGTATTTATTTTTTTAATATTTATTTGTGCATTTCCACATGTCCACTCATGGACAGCATAAGTTCTGAGTTGATGATATACTGTATAATATAATGTTTTAGAATATTTTGACATTGCTTAAGAGAATGCACCGTAAAACTTTTCATTCTCATCTCATTCTAATATTCACTACTGTCTCAACCCTTACTTCACTCCTCATWTAACTTCTTCATCTCATTTTTTTTCTACRTCTTATCCTAGCTTCTCCTTTTTAGTGGAAATGTTTTCATTTACAAAAATAACAACACTGCACATAATACCTCAGGCCCATGCTCATTCATATTTTCAGACCCCATGGTAGTGCTGGGCAGTACGATCAAAATTTTWTATCACAGTATTTTTACCRATTTTWTGTATCAYGGTATTATTAGAYGGKRTTTTTTTTCATCACAGCTCAGCTGATGTTAAAATAAACAAATGCTGCTTATTGATCAGCAGACTGCAGTCAGCTGTCATTACTCACTTTCTGCAACACAACGATTTCATGACTTTTTTCTTTTACTGTACCTCTGTCTGTGTTGTGTTTTCACTCCTGTCTTTTGTTCCTTCCCTGGTTGTAAACATCAGTCACACATTCTGGGGTTGAGCCACGTTAGCAGTGAGGGGAGGCAGGTACAGTCGTGAATGAAGAGGGTTGAGCAAAGCTCATTATCAGGCAAATTTACTGCTTGCATGAAGTCTATCTTTGCACGTCACTGTGTATTCTGCATTCAGCAATGCAAATATTAGAYTGTTTTTATGTTGTTGTTGTTTTTGTATTTAGTCAGCCAATGTGAGCATCAGAATCACCACTAGATGTGGCTGTCRTCTTTTTGAAACTTCTGATTTCAAAATAAAATCCACGTGTATCGTGTGTCCACATACGTATGCTTGATGCTACATGTTACCATCTGCTTCCCAAACAGAACCATGCATTCTGACAGCCTTTGTGTAGAAATATATCCATATACTGATAAATATAGCTGGGATTTCGACAAAATTAGTCCGCCTTATGGTGTCTTATTTTGAAAATACGGATGTTCCTTTTCCTGTTGGTGTGATGTGATCTCTGTAGATTGACTCCAGAGCAGCTCCGGCGTCCGGCAAAAATAGGACTGGATCCAATTTTGGTGGATCGGCATTTGCTCACCAAAGTCTGCAATTTGCATTAATTGAATCTTATTTGGCTAATCTTATATCTAAAGATACATTTAAGATATCTTGAACTGGATTCTCCATACAACCCTCATACAATGATAAAACAGACGTTATTTATACTAGTCAGAATGTAATTAGAGCTATCTCAAATAAGTATTTTGCCTTGTCAAAATATATTTAAAGACATATTTATTTGTGTGTGTGTGGGGGGGGGGGTTTCATTCATAAAACAAAACAATCTATGTGCAGCATTAAAAATCAAAGTAAATCACACCCTGAATGGAAAGGATGCAGAGTGAAGAAAAAACTCTTATCATATCTGCCCCTAGTTTCAAAAAACAACTTAAACAAACAAACAAGCTCAAGCAGGAAAGATCTCGCAATTTAAAAATATATATGCCGGTAAATATAAAATACATAATTTTATTATTATATAATCTTAAATAGCTAAAATGTCTAGTCATAACACAATTTCAGATATCTGTAATGTGTTCAAGTGTCACAAGTGTTTGACTTTGACAACTTGGGTGTGAAAAAACTACAGTTGTTAAAGCTTCACTCTGCGCGACGTATGGCAGGAGGTAGGGAAGAAATGATCCTGCAACACTATTTACTTTTTCACAGGAGGGAAATTTTGAGGGTTTATTCTATAGGCTTTAAAACGCTAATATACTGTATTAATA